TTGCTAACTTGTGAAAAGAGTGAGTGCTGATACCGATGTCTGCAAACACGAAGTAACAAGGAGCACTTATCCCCTCAGACTACCTCTCTGAGCAGCTGCCAAGTCTATTGATCACAGTCAGAGCGCAGTTCAACTCTTTGATGCTCCTTTACCCACGTTGCTTCACCTTCTCCTAGCACATCCTGCCCTTTAATGTTCACACTCGGGGTATTTACTGTATGTGTGACCTCATATAAATAATCAGAATTGCCTTAAAAAATATAGCTAACACCTCCAGCCCCGTTGCTGCTCTCTTCATGACCTGCTGCTAAGTAGGTTTATGTATTTGGGAGTTTGGCCTGAGTCAGAGGGGATACCGCATTCCTTTAAGATTAAACTAACAAGGGGAAAAACCTGCCTTTTTCCCCACTGTGGGCGCAGAACAGGTAAGGCCTTGTATAGGTGCTGTGGTCGCGCTCTCACTCATGTCGTTACAGGCTGAACCCAAACATCCAGGAACCTCGACACTCCATATTCCCCCTCTTAAAGAAACACGGAGAATGGAATAGAAGCTGTTTCGCAGGAAAGCGAGCGCAAACGCTAAACAATGCTGTTCAGATTTCCTGTGGTTTGCTGTATCAGCTCTGCTGGAAGCCGTCTTCATACTTAAATAACTAAAATAAAACATGTTCGCTTGATGGAAGCGAGAGGAGAGGGGACAGAAAAAGAGTAAAAAAGGAATATGAATCAGGGCTACAATACTGGTGTTCTGTTTCATTAGGGTGAACCGGTTCCAAGATAGACCAATTTTCAAAGTGTTAGGTAGTTACTTCCTCTCTGAGGGCTTATATCGGATAACCGTAATTCGCCCAGCATGACGCAATTGAAATGGATGAAGGGCTGCAGGATCTTGTGAAGTGTGAAAATAGCAAAGCGCTGCATTAAAAGCATCAACGGCTAACGCAATGGCATTAAGCTACCTGGCAATTATAGTGCGTTCAAGAATCAAAGCTATGTGCACTGTGGCATGAGTCTGCAGTGGCGTCCAAAAATTACACAGAAATTTGGCATGTATGTGTAGAGTAAACATGGCAAAGAAATTTGACATTTGCATTGATTTATGAGGGAAGAAGGCAGAGATTTAAGCGCTCAGAGTGTTAAACATACAATACGATTGTTGTTGAGTCTATTATCAACACTGCAAAAAGGCAGAAACCTGCAGTAAGCACAGTCAATTGGCAGGTTGCCTTATCATAATAATGTAATTAGCCCCCGAGCTACTGAATAAGAAGATAAAAGACGGGATAATACACACACGGTGCCTTGTGAGTATTTACACTGAACTCTGCGTTTGTTGTTGCAGTCTCCTTATTACAGGAGGGAGCATAATATTACACTGCAGTCCCATTCTCCCTTGTTTAAATAAATGCTCGCTGCTTCAACTGGAAGGAGGAGAAGTAGATATTTCACACAAGGTGTTGTGGACGAGATAATTAAGTCACGCTACAGAGAAAAGAAAGCCTTTAAATTATGACTCTTATTTTAAGGGACAGTGCTACACTTAGTTACATTAATTCATTGATTTACTTTTATTGACTTCACATTATTGCTGCAAATTAAAAGAAAAACACAGACAACTTTTCCCTCATCTTTCTCATGAGGGACAGTGGGAGAAACTTATATTATACTAACCTGAGATGTTTGTATCTCAGGTTATAGTGTTCCCATGACACTCTTATTGAGACCTTATTAACAGACTCTAAAAAGCCTTAATCAACCCACCATTCACTGTAAGTGCAGATGAGTGAAAATACAGACCAATTCATCTATCTTTGATTAAACACTGATCACATTAACACAGCGCCTCCATGATTACCCCCAAGAATTATGTAGACTAATGTGAACCTCAAGCACTAATAAGTCTTAATAGCCGACACAGCGCGCCAACACACACACAGCACCGTTTTACTCCATCAGTTTGACCCTGCTTGGATTAAATAACATGTTTGCCTCCGAGGTACAATTAAGCAACGCTAAATAGAGATCCTTTGAGCCAGGAGTTAAGAGAAGAGTCCTATCTGCACAGTAGCAGCCAGTGAAGCGATCCCAACCCCCCCCCCCCCACAGGCTCTTTCAAATTACCTATTGATGAGTGGGCTTCACCGTCCGTCGGGGGAGGAGGAGGGAGGATGTCTGGTTCACTTTTAAGATGTCTCCAAGAAGCGGGCCTGTGGTTAGATCTAAGGCAATACTTATGCAACAGAAGCTGCCTTTCTCAAATACATATACGGTTTCCCCTGCAAATTATCTGAGATTTTCTTTTGGGGAAAGTTTTCCGCCCGGAGTCTTCAGATATTTACCCACATTGCCCTGTTTTTTCTTTTGATCGTGTTGATTTGGATAGGTCTCTGTAAGCGTTTTTTTTTTCTTCTCTACTGCGACTGAACGATAATTGCTCCCATGACTTAATTGTCTATATGTAATTAAGTTTGTAATAGAGAAAAGAGGCTTTTAAATGTTCCCCGGAGAGGCACAGTGGTTGAGTGGGTGCCACACATGTTGAAGATTACTCTGCCCTCCCCATCTCATCTGCCAGTCTGAGGAGGAGTTATAAAAAAAAAATGTATCTGAGGCAATTAAATGAGAACTGCTTGATGTAAACGCCAAGACAAATTTTAATGAGACCCCTTATTTTCAATTTAGAGCATGTGCCCACTCCCACAAGTCAACTCAATTTATCATTGGGGATGAAACGCTCAGCTTAAATTAAAAATGTCCTTAAATACACGCTGACGGATGGGATGGAGTAATGTGGCTTTGAAACTAACAAAACAATATTTTGTAACTTGTGTTCTCTGGGAAAACTGGCTGACGCTGCAGTAAAACCTCCAGGAGAAACATGGGAGTAGGAGAAGTGGAAGAAAAACTATAAAATCAACAAAAAGGAAAGACTAGAGCTGAGTTTTTTGTTCTAAGAATGCATGTAAGTTGTCAGGAATAGAGAAATAATCTTTCGATTCATAGAAATTAAGACTTTAAAAACAAACCTAATATCTAGGTTATAATAAAAAGTGAACCTTCAGCGTTTTACGGCTGAATGGTCCACATCCATTAAACCAAGATCTTCTTTTAGACAAAACAAAAAAGTTTACGTCTGATTCAAATTTTTGCCAGTTCTGATACATGACAATACACTACATTTAATTGTTTTGAATTATAAATACAACAGAAAGCACTGGTGGTCTTACAAAATCACATTGCGCTGTCGGGGGACTTTTTGTGGTTGTACTGACAGTTTTACAGCCCAGATAATCATGAACAGGAGCACCTTCAATGAGCAGCAGCACAATATCGCAAAAAAATACCTTTTTACAAGAGTCTACCAGTGATGATCTTTTCTATGAGTCACTCCACCTGAACATCTGTACACATCTGCTCCTCTCTTCCTCACTCTGTCTTCCACAGCATGCTTTCAATTTCCTGCAGTGCTGCTCCTCTCCTCTCGCTCTCCCGTGCTGCGACCCCAGAGACGCACCGAGAGGTCAGGGGTTAACGTGGTAATAGGTGGTGGGGATTGGTTGAGGACGCTCACTCTCTCCCGGCTTTCAGAGCGCATTAGGAGCCGCTCTGCTTCTGTGCGGAGCCTGAGCCCAGAACAGCTGTGTCTGACCACGGAGCGACTTCTTAAAAACATCTTTTAAACATTTGATTTGGACGGAGAAGTGCAGGCTATGGACCGAAGCGGAGAGGAGGAGGAGGAGGAGAAGGAGGAGGAGGAAGGCGGCTATTAAGCTGAACCTGTCTATTTCCTATGTCGCACGGGAATGGCATTGTTTATTTAAATGATAAAATTCATCTGGTAAAACGAAAAGGTTATTCATGTTGTTGATTTAATTAAATTGTGCAAAGAATATGTCACAATAGAATACAGTGAACCCAAAACAGAGGCCGCAAACTGGAGCATGAAAGTTGGCCTTCATAGCTAATTGAAAACCATAAAGTTCCGCTACTGTTCAAAGGTCTTATTTCCGAAAGATAGATCCAAGGAGCAACAGAATATAAAGATTAGACAAATTTAATATTAGAAATATACATAATTAAATGCATTGAGATGTTTTGTTCTGCAGTGTTTCACTGTCCTAGTATTTGTGGAGAGAAAATACCGTCAGGAGGTTATTAAACAAACACAATCCTACCTTTTTACCTGTTTCATGCTAAACAATAAGTCTGCATAGAATGAATGTCTAATTGTTCTAATTCTTATTCCAGTTCTTAGATTACAAGTTTTTTATAATGGAAGTCAACATAGAGTGACTTCTTGTTCAGAGTGGATTTATGTCAGTCTATTAAAAGCTCCCTGGAGGCGGCAGAAATCCACACTGATTAATTAATGACAGAAACACAACTGAACAATTTCAGGAAGCGTTAACAGATCTTTCTTGGCAAACTAATCAATACTTCTTCCCTACGCACAATGTAGACACCCAACACACTGACAATGGGGTAATCCCCACATCTTGTTTCAATGCTCGACTGTAAACTCTCATGTGCAGCGTCTGTTTACGTTTGTCAAAAATATCACCCATGCTTTTGTTTTTGGTTCCGCAATGGCATCACTTTGTAAATCTGAGGGTATGTTGCACAAACATGTCATCTCCCTCCTTCAGAAATATTTATAAACATCACGTAGAGTAAATACTGGATTTGCTAAACGCAGAGAGAGGTTTTTTAGTTTTTTTGTGTGTGTGTTTGCGCACCACAAAAAGCCTTGATGATTGCTGGGTCTTTCCTCCACCACAAAAAGCTTGGACATGGATAGCCGGGTCTTCGATGACCTCAGCTGATCCCCTCCGCTCATCTAGACCCAAATCCTTCAATCCCATCCAAGAAACTTACCCCCTTTACCCAAACCCCTCTTAATACCTCCATCCAAAACCTCAACACCTGACCCCGAGTCCTCCCTGTGACCCGATCGCCCAATCACAACTCAGACACAACAGCACCAACAAAGCAGTACTCACCCCAGAAGAAGTTCTGTTGACACGGTGTCACTGTGCTGAAAAGGCTGTTAGATGCCATAGCTGCCTCTGGTCGCAGCAAGCCCAACTTTTGTTCCTCTGTGGTTTCCGTGACCCTTGACACGTCCTAAACCAAGAGCGAGCAGCGTGTCATGAAAAAAAAAGAAGGAAAAAGCCATCCACAAGACATGCTTTTTACGTATCAACTATTCAGATGACCACAAGTAACAACCAGGTCTGGTTTTATGGAGAAAAAAATTGCAGAGGCAAATATCGCCTTTGCGGATAGATCAGATGGTGTCGGACTTGCTTGCTTGGCGAGTGTGGTTGGAACGTACTTACTCGCTTAGCGCCGTCCCTGTGACTGGTGCTGGCCCGCGACGATTAACCATTTACACTCCGGGTCGCCCTCAAACACCAACCCCGAGCCGCACGTCTGTGGTTCTGTGGTTGTTTGGGAGGCGAGCAGAGCCCTCACACAACCCAAAAGGCACCAGCTTTAAAACTCGTCTCTTTCCTGCCCTCCATGTGCCGTCACTGGAGAAGCCCGGGTCACATGGCCTCTGACGTCATCACGGCACAGCAGTCGAGTGGGACAGCCTACCGTTGTGGCTTTCTTCCCTCTCCTCTTCCTTCTCTCTCCTTGGACTTTTTTTCTCTCCTCTCTGGCTCCCCTCCTTCCTCCTCTCTCTCTCTATCTCTCTCTCTCTTACGCGTGGATCAGCAGCGTTTTCGGGCTCTCTGGGGCATCAGGCTCTGACACTCCCATGAGTCAGGAGGGCTTCAGTGGGGGCAGCTTGTTCAACCGCCCATGCCTCCTCAGCATATGGGGAACAGGGCTCTCCTCTCCCTTCACTTTTTAACCCCCCTCTTCTCTCTCTTTCTCTCTCTCTCTCTCTTTTTCTCTGACTCCTCACTCTGCTCCTTCCCTAAACTCCTCTCACAGGCTGCTGTGCTGCTCCTGTCTGCCTCTGAGCAGAGAGAGCTGAGTTTGGTAAGATTCGAGGGTGTGAGTGAGGAGCGAAAGGCTGGCTGGCTGGCTGGCTGGTTCGCGGTGTGAGACTGGGTGTGTATGAGTGTGTGTGTGTTTGCATGTGCAGCAGAGAGAAATAGAGAGACAGAACGGCTGGGTGTGTGTGTTGAGAGAAAGCGGAGGTGGTGTGAAGCTGCTTATTTACAGAGGAGTGTGCTGCCTCAGTGTCACTTCAGCAGACACAAGGTTTTTGTCTCTCAGAGCCTTTTCATCCCATTTAAGTCTCCCTGTTTTAAGACAGTAGCCATTCTATTATTTTAGTTATAAGCAGAGCTGTTCTAATGTTAAATTAACTTTTCCAATAATACATTGGTACCTCTTTTTAAGATATATATATATACACACATTGTTGGTGGAAAAACAAAATCTCTGTCTAAAATTAAGCTCTCCACGAGCATAAAAAAAGGCCTGGAGTTTGTTTTTGTGTGTCATATCACACCATGTGTCCCCTTCAACAGTCCAAGAAGCTTTCTCTTCTTTGCATTTCATAAACAAATAAATGAAGGTATTAGATCAGTATTTAGACTAGCTTTTGCTGATACCTCATACCACATTCATGGTTGTATTGGAGGCCACACATCTTTAGTTATAACTCTCATAACTGCATTTGTACACAAACCCTTGTAAGCCTCTTCTGAACTTTAACTGGCTCTCATTGAGGCAATATGGGGGGAGGGGGGTTATTCCTGTAATAGGCTGTAAATAATGGCCACCTGTCTTCTCTATGAAAGAGATGCCTCGTTAGCACATGGAGACACACGCACACAAACACCCTGCAAGAATGACCTGGCAACACGGAGCACAGTGCAGGCAGCTCACAACAGTCTACGATGAATCATCACACACACAAACATTCCCACAAACTCACACACGCAGCACACACCCTCAAACGTCACGGCTCGTCTTTGATCAGCGATGAGAGGTGTTTGTTTCAACAGATCAAAAACACAGACGGGGTGTTCGTACAGAAGACGAGGAATGTGTGGAATGAAGCGGGGAGTTCAGTCAGGTTAGGAGGTGTTTGAGTATCACAGGCAAATCGCCACTGGCCCCTGGGAACGTCTGACTAAGCATTAAAGAGAAAATAAAAAATGCCTCGAGCTCTCTCATTATGATTTATGGTTGCCAATCAAACTACCTTTTAATCAGTCATATAACTTTCCCTGTTGTTTAATTATTGCCTTTCATTTAATAGGGCAGCCAGTCTGAATACAAACAAACGCATTCTCTCACTGACATTTTGGTAATCAAGCCTGTCAAGTCATTTTGTTTTATGAGCAATGAGTTTCAAGATGTCCGTCTCCAATATATTTACTTCCACCATAACAACATGAAGGTGACAATCTTGTTTCTGAGGCTCACGTCATTAAACAATCTTTGAGGAAAAAACTACTGTGTTTTGTCATGCTACTGCCATTTTAAATGTATTTGTTCAATTTTTCTGCATCACTGAGTAACTTGTTACTCTAACGCATTTAGTTTAAGGCAGAAGTCTCAGAGGTATTCATCCAATTTCTCTTTGCAAAGCAAAAAGTACAGCAAAAGTAAGGTCATTATAAAGTGAATTACTGGTAAATGATCATCTGATACAATAAAAACAGGCTGTGTTTACAGAAGGGTTGTGCAAAATAAAATATGTTTTCACAATGCTGTATTGATTTTCCCGCCACCCCTATATGAATACATTAGATGTATAAAAATGATCTATTTCCTCTAAATTTTTGTTATTACAGCCTTCGTGGCTGTAGATGATGCTTTTAAGAGGCTGGCTCTTTGAGCCTTAAGTTGCTGCGAGCAAGAGAGAAGCAGTGATAAAGTAAAGCAAGGGTGATGAAGGGTGCTGGGCTAAAGTAAATAAAGCACTTAAAGAAAGAAATGAGCTGCTATTTTTTAATTGTTTCCCAGTCGGTAATGCTCTTAAGAACTAATAAACTTGTCTGCAGCTCCCACACAAACATGCAAGAAGGAGTTAGTGTTGTTTGTAAGTAGCTCTTCATTTGCACTCTATGTCTCTGTGTGACCGTCAGACATGCAGCTGTCACACAGACACAACACAGACAGACCGTTCAAATTCATAGGTAGGCATATATCGACACTTGTAAAGTTCTTTTGGGGTCTCAGTAAGTTTCACTGTTACAAACCAACAAGGAGAGAGACTGTGATGCTACCTGATTATTATGTGAACACTTAGTCCCAACCTGCAGAGTGTTTGCTGTGAGCTCTACAGTACTGCACAATGACAGACACACAGAACTGTCACAAACAACAATATGGTGAGAGAGAGAAAAACAGACAGGGGCCTGACAAGGTCTGTGTAGATACAGAAACCAACACACACTGAGTGTTAATTGAGAGAGAATATTTTAATATAGGTCTGTATCCTTTAAAAATAAAAAAGCGTCCTTATTGAATTAATAAAACGCTTATTGATTATTTCAAAGGAGTTGGTATGTGTTCTTTGACTTTTTATGTACCTGTATCGTGTGCATGTTGGTCATTTAAAAACGATAAATTTCACAATTTGGGTGCCAAGGGTTTAATTTTTGGTGCCATGGTAACTAAACAGGTATTGATATAGTGTAAGAATAACCAGAAATTTGAAATGATGTTATTCTGAAAACCCTGTTTTAATAAATTTGAATTGAAATTGTGAATATAAATATTTTTGATTAAATAATACAGCAGTGTGTCTCCTCCTCTGAACTTTCACATTTTCAGTATATTATGCAAATTTAGTTGCAAAGTTTCGTGACACGTTTTGTATCAGTGAGGATCTTGCAGCACCAGCTCTAATATTTAGGGCATTCATTTTAGCATTCTTAAAATAAACATTTGGTCCATTTCTCAGTTTGAATGTAATGTAATGTACAATAATTCTAATGTTCATGTAACAAACGATGAAGAGGTAGGATTTTTTTTATTTAAAGCTGAGTATTAAACAAAGGCCCTGAGGTATCTAACAAAAACAATGCAAAACAATAATGTACGTTTTGTTTGATGTCCAAGTCTGCATTATCAACATGCTTTCTACTGCACACAGTAGAAATACATGCATAACAAATGTGAGTATTTTCAATATACCAAAACAAATACCTCTCTGAATAATAAAACTATTCATGCGGTCAGTACTTGACAACTGAGATTGAATCTTGTTTGTGTAGTGAATGAAATTAATAAAAATTGTCAAACATGAAACGCAAACAATCTCCAAATTCCGCAGCACAACAGCATTTCCACAAGTCTCGGCCACCTAACTTATTTTGGTGCAGTGAGACATTTTCCTTGGCTCGCTGCTTTGTAAATATTTGCTGTCTAAAACAAGAACATGCCTCTTGAGTTTCAGCGCATGTTACAGAATTCTTACGGGGAGGCTGTTCAGATTCTGCACACTGAACATCACAGTACAGGTTTTTTTTTTTTTTTATCCATAATGCAATTTACCTCAATGGTAAAAAAGACTATAGTCTTCCACAATAGTCTCTTTGAATAATTGTTTGACTTTTTGTTTTGGATCACCAGTGCAATGCCGAAGGCAGAATATATAGAAGGATTAGTTTAGTACCTGATACTGAAGTCAAGAATAACATTTAAGGTCATGTATAAACATTTTGAAAGTTATTGCGAGTGGAAGCCTTGCTGTCAGAAACAAACCTTCGGACAGAGTGCAGCACTGCAGTGAGTTCAGCTGAGCTACAGTAAATTACACACAGTTTGATGGGAATATAATTTTCACATCGTGATTGAATCGAAAATATTCAATGGAAAAAAAAAAGAAGTAAGAATGTCGAGTCTCATGCATACGGCAGGAGACATAACTTCTTGGGTGGCGCAGCAAGTGATAAACAACCTTGATGGTGAAAATCTGAGTTATGACGATGTTGTAGTGTCAGATATCTCTGCATGAATTCTTTAGAAACTGGAACGATTGAGACACAAGGGATGTATAATGTTTTCCCCTGAAACAATCACAGTGGGTTTATTCAAGCAGGCCAAGTATTTTACTTTCTCACTCTTTGGCCAGGTCGGCAACTCAACAACCTTACCTA